ACGGAGCTAGATGAGCTGGAGTGTGATATGAATGCGCATATGCAACGCGCCGCCATGCAGACGCGTGAACTGACCCAACAGTTGGAGCGATCCGAAGAACAGTTGCAGGCACGCACCGAGGAGCTGGCACGGCTGAATGACGAGCTGGCCGACGTGGAGCGTGAGCGTGCTGCGCTCAGCCGGGAGGCGGCCATACTACGCATGCAACAAGACAGCGCCGAGCAGGATGTGCTCGAGCTGCAGGAGCTGCGCATGCAGGTCATACAGGACAAAACGGAAATGGATAATCTGCGCTCCCAAATCGACTCACTCTGCGCCAATCACAATCAGGAACTGCAAGCGCTGCAGCAGCAAATTGCCGAGCTGGACACCCTGGGACAGAACCAAACGGACGATCAGGTCTACATTGAGAACGAGAACAAGCGACTCACCGAGCAGCTGGTGGAGCTGCAGGGTCGTCTCGACGAACAGGCCGAGCAGCTGGCACGCCAGCAGCTACAGGCTCGTCTTGACGAACAGATCGAGCAGGTGGCACGCCAGCAAGCGGCCTCAGCCCCAATTCCTGCTCCAGCCAGCTTCCAGTCGCAAGCAACAGCCACGGACGATTGGATGGCCTGGTCGGGCATGATGCAACCCACTCAAAGACAAGAACAGGTATGCAGCACCGAACACGAACTAAAAAAGAGATTAAACACACCTTCTACCCAGTTCCAACAAAAATCAGCCAGCATTATTTTAAGATTTGCTTAAAGTAAATTTGAATTCGAATTGCTCTTCCATACTATGCTATCGATATCACTCACTATCGGCATCGGCTCCAGTTCCGATGAATTAGCAAAGTGAACTCCAGCACTGCTGGAACTATGTTTCTGAATTACAAGTTCATTGTAGCTCAATTAATGCAGACACTAATCGATAACTTTATGAACCGGCTAAGTCGAGGTTTATTTGAATTTTACCAACGAATCTCTCAAAACTAACAATAAACACATTCACTATTATTTTTTGCAGAATGCGCCATTGCCAGCGCCTGCCATGTTCTTTGGCGGCGATGCGGCAGCTGCGCCATCGCCTTTCGATGAGATTGTCGCCCAACCGCTGAGGATGACCACACAGAATCTGGGTATGAGCTTGCCCCAAACTCAAGCAGTGACCAATGTTGAGTCGAGTGGAGGAGAACCAACGATTGAGGATCTGCAGCGTAATGTTTCTGATCTGGAGAAACATGCCAAGGAGCTAGAGACGAAATTGCTGGCACGCAATCAGGCGCTTGCCGAGCATGAAGAGCGACGCGCCCAACTGGAGCGTCTGCTGGCCGAACGCGAACAGGAGCTGGCGCAGCTACATGCTGCCGCAGAAGAGCGTGAGCGTGTAGCAGCCGTTGAGGCGCTAATACAGCCAGCTGTGGCTCCAACGACGGCAGCTCCTTCGCTGGATATGTTCTTTGGCAACGAAACGGTAACAGATGCAGCTGTCACCAGCCTGGATCTGGGTCTTCCGCAAACGGAGCCCGTTGAGGAGCAGCTCATCATACCAAAGAAGGCATATATTTGCCATCCAGAGCAGGAGCAGCAACAGAAACTACAGCAGCAGCAGCAACAACAACAACAACCGCCTCTGACAAGCGACTGGGGTGTTGATGTGGACGAGGATCCGTGGGCCAATGCTGACAAAGAGCAGCAGCTGACAGATGAAACAGCAGCGCTGCTAACTCGCATCGAGGAGCTGGAGAGCCAGAAGGCGAAACTGCAAACGAAAACGGCCAAGTTGATGAAGTGCGTCAAGGAGTATCGCATCAAGGAGCAGCAGGAGCAAGCGCGCCATGCGAATAACAATGATTTGGACAGCGCCATCATGGACGAACTGAAGCTTCAGCTGCAGCTACAGGAGGCGCGCCAAGCTAAGGCCGAGGAGCTGCTACAACAGCAGACGCTGGAAAAGGAGAAGCTATTGAAGCGCATCGATGTCTTGACTGCAGGCAATGAACGCATGGCCGAGCTGAAGGAGCGGCAGGACATGGATGTGCATATGTATCAGACGCGAATACGCGAGCTACAGGACAAGCTGCAGCAGCTAGAAAGCTGGGGCGAGGGAGCAAGTGCCGCTGCCACGCCCACAGCGCAGCCAGGCGATGAGGCAGCGCAGGCCCGAATCGAGAATCTGATGGCAGAGAACCAAGATCTTAATAACGAGTGCCAGGAGCTGATGGCCCAGCTCCGACAGGAGAAAGAGCAAGCCCAGCAAGAGCGGGAGCGACTGCAAGCGCAACTCGATGCGCGCAACCAGGAGGCGGAGCAACTTAAACAGCAAATGGAGCAGTCACAACAGGAGTATCAGCAGCTGCAACAGCAACTGGAGGAGCTAAGGACCAAGCAGCAGGAGTACCAGCAACTGCAACAGCAACTGGAGGAGCTAAAATCCAAGCAACGTGACTACCAACAGCTGCAACAGCAACTGGAGGAGCTGAAGACCAAGCAACAGGACTACCAACAGCTGCAACAGCAACTGGAGGAACTGAAGGCCAAACAGCAGGAAGGCCAGCCGCTGCAACAGCAACTGGAGGAGCTTAAGACCAAGCAGCAAGAGTGCCAGCAGCTGCAGCTGCAGCTAGATGAGCTAAGAACCAAGCAGCTGGAGCTGCCGGTGGCAGTAAGTGCGCCCAGTGACGAGAGCATGGCGCTGCTGCAGGAAAAGGAATCCGAAATCGTCCATCTCAAGCAACGCATCGAGGAGCTAATGCGTGAGGATCAGACCGAGAAATTGGTGCTAGAGATATTAACCAAGAATCAGGAGCTGCAGATGCTGCGCATGCAAGTCAAACAGCTGCAGGAGGACAAGCTCGAGCTGGAGCAGCAGAGTATACCGTCGAAGGAGCAGCCGGACAATCAGGCGGAGTCGCAGCTGCAGCAGCAGCTGGAACAGGTGCAGCAGGAACTGGAACAGCTGCGCCAGCAGAGCGCCGCGCACCAGCGAGAGAAGAACGACATGGAGGAGGAGCTGCGCGTCCTCAACAATCATGTGCTCAGCAGCCTGGAGCTCGAGGACAAGATGAAGCAAACTGTATTGGAGCTGGATATGAAGAACATTGAGATAACCGAGTTACGTAGATCACTGGAGCTGCTGCAGCAGGCGCAACCACAGCCACAAGAGCAGCAGCAGCAGCAACAGCAGCCAGATATCGCTGCCTTGAATATGCAATGGGAGGCACTGGTGGAGCAGAAATGCAGCGAAGTGGCCAGAATATGGCAGGAGCATCTGGCGAAACGTGAGGCTGAATACAAGGCGAAAATCGAAGAGCTATCTGCAGCGGCTGCTTCTGCGGCTGCCTCATCCCAGCCAGTGCAACAGGAGCAGCAACAGCAACAACCACCTCCACTGCCCGCCACGGAGGACGCGAATGAGATGTTGACCAAGATGCAGAGCGCCCTGGAGACACAGGAAATGGAAATCGTGACGTTGAAGGAACAGCTGGCCATACGTTCCGCTGAGTATGCGCGACTCGCCTCGCAATACGATCCCTTCCGGCTGCAGAACTCGTTGGGCAGCGGCCCCGTGGCTGGAGCAAGCGGCACAGCAGGGCAGGACCCACAGTCGGAATATGTGCTGAGATCTGATCTGGACTATGCATTGATGATGCTGCATCAGCGGGATATGCGTGTCGAGGAAATGATCGTTGAGCTGGTGCAGTTGCTCGAGGAGCGCGATCATCTCCAGCTCAAGCTCTCGGACACGCTGCGCCAGCTGGAAGCCGAGCGCAGTAAGTGTGACACCTCCACTCGAATAATAGAATAATAATGATGATTTATGATATGTCTCTTTTTGCAGCAGGTGGAGCAGCATCTGGCAGCGCCAATGCCACCGCCTCCTCCTCATCCAGCCCCAACAAGCTCAGCGGCAGCGGAGAGCTTGCCGCGGCGACACCAGCCAGCAGCAGTGATCTAAAGCAGAAGTAAGATTTCAACTGAATTATACTTATAATGGATATTCGACTAAACTGAGTGTTGTTTCACAGATTGGCCGAGCTGCAGACGGTGAAGCATTCCAAGGATAAGGCGATTGTGGACGAACGCGAGCAGCGTCTGCAGCAGATGATGCAGCTGCAGCGAGACATGGTGAAAGCAGCGCCAACAGCCGCAGCTCCAACAACTAATCTTCCTTCTCCGCCACCTGCACACCAGCAGCAGCACCTGCCACAACAGCAGCAGAACCAGCAGCAGCAGCAGCAACAGCAACAGCCACTCGAAATGGATTCAAGTAAATGCCTCGCAAGGCTTGCAGTGATAGCCCAATATATTAATATATTTATATTTATCGTTATAAACAGCTCAATCCGGGCAGCGCGCCCCTTACGGACTTATGGACTGGATATTAGGCAACAACAAGAACGAGGACGAGGCGCAGCAGACACCACATAATCTTCCCCAGTCACCAGTTCAGCAACAGATTTCCCATTCGCCGCGTTCATCGCCGAGCAATTAGCAGTGGGCAAAGATCCTTGCCAGCGTTGCGCCTAGTTGACTCTATCTAGCAAGTTGCTTAACAATAAATATCGACTTAGATTAGCATTAGAGTTCTATATAAATATTATGTACCTTGCATGAATGAAATCGAAGACGAACCCCGAGAAACAAAACAAAAAAATTGAAAAACAAGAGTAAAAGCTATTCCCGAACTGTGTAGTCGCAGCAATGCAAGGGACACGCCCACGTTTTATGTTGTAGATATGTAAAAATTGTAAAAAAAAGAGAAAAAACTAAATAATAATAGCAAAAAATAAAATTAAACGAACGTAAATAATAATAAATTAGTATTTCTTGGCCTTTGCTTTGTATAACATATAACGTTATTTAACGCAACGTAAGACATGTAAATTGCAATTGCCGTTTGAGATGGCAACGGAAGCTAATGAGCTATCGATAATACGATGATTATGCAGTCAGTGTGTACACTATGTTTGACATTGAGATTAATTAAAATTTAACGGCTGAACAGGATAACTGCGTGCGATTTTAACAATTTTTGATTGCTTAAGGCATCCACTATATAAGGAAATAAGATAAGTCCGTTATTTAGTTATTAATTAGTCATGAGCGAGTCGGGATACCGAAACAAGCGCACTTACCACTTAGCTGATATGCAGCCCACAATGACAAGCTTCAGTACTGTGGCGCTAATCATAGCCAAGTCGGAGGCAAATGTATTTCTAGACAAGATCAACAACGAGCAGCGAGGCGTCATTAGCTTCACTCTGCGTGACTCGAAGCGCGACATAGCCAACTGCAAATGCTGGGGCAGCAGAGCCTGCGTGGATGAGTATGTGGATATGCTGCAAATTGGCGATGTGGTGGACATTGTGGGCGCCAAAGTGATGGCCATAGCACCCCCCAATAAGCCCGGCACCAGCGAGCAGCAGCGCTATCACCCACGTGGTACCTTGCCGTATGCGCTGGTCGTGAACGAAGGCCAGGGACATCTAGTGAAGCACAGCGTCGATGATGCGGCAGTTGTGCAACCTCTACTGCAGTTGATCCATCTGTCCCACAAGCCATTGAGTGCTGTCTTGAAGCTCTCGGATGTGCGCTGTGCCGCTCCAGGGGCGGAGACACGGCCAGCTGTCTATGTCGATCTGCTTGTAGCAGTGGCAACAATGCGTCCGGTGCGAGAGCTGAAGAGGAAGGTGGCTCGCCTCGGCAGCGGACTGCTGCAGTGTCTTGAACTGGTGGTGATCGATACCAGCTATGCAGATGGTATGGTGTTCACGCTCTGGCACAAGGATTGGATACGTCGCGCCCGGCACTGGCAGCCACGCAAGACCATACTGCATCTGATCGATGTGCGTCTGTCGCACTCGCAGTTCTACGGCTGTCCAGTGCTCAGCCATGCCAGCTGCACGCTGATCTACGAGCAGCCCCAGCCGCAGAGCGCCGAGTGCCAGGCACTGCTCGCATTCGCAGCCAGCACTCCGCTCAAAAGTTTCGATATGTTCGCGCAAATCGATGTGGAGCAGCTGCCAGCAGGTGAGTGGAGGACACTCTTATTATGACATTAAATAAGTGAGCACTTATTGTGAGCCTTCTTCTCCATCAGCCGAGCACATCCAGACCCAGATGAGCGTGCGTCAGATCTATGCGCGTGCCGAGGGCGAGCTCCAGGATGCGACGAGCGATCAGTTTACGGCTGTGCTCTATGCCATGGTCAGCAAATTCGACATCGATGGCCTGGCCACCAGCATCAACAAGAAGTGGCAAGTAGTACCCAATTCTCCAAGATTATATTATCTACTTTGATTTGATCTTGTCCTTTCACGCAACTGCAGCAAATCCTGCCAGCGCCTCATACCGAACAGCCGCAACGACTGCGACAACGAAAGCTGCCTGCTGGAGTTCTCGTTATGTTACAGCGGTCCCCGCTTCGAGTACTTCTTCAACATCAACGTCCATCTGTCTGACCAGACGGGCACGCTGGTCGAGACACGCCTGAGCGGCGGCGTAGCTGAGCACTTGCTGGGCTTGAAAGCGGATGCCTTCCAGCTGCTGTCGGAGCGTAGGAAAACAGAGCTCAAATGGCGCTTCCTCTTAAAGTACTTCGAGGTGAAGCTGCTGATCAGGAAGCCAACGGCCATGCGCAAGGATCTGGCGGTCATAATCGTGGACATGGAACTGATTCAGCTGGATAGGCTTATAGAGAAGATAACTGTTTTTTGAACACAGATCTATTATAATATGGAATAACTTTAAACCAAGGGTTTTTAAAATGAAATGAAATTTGGTGTCTTATTTTGAGTAAATATAAGAAAATATCGCTAGATCTGTCTAGATATACTAGATATATATTATTATTAACATTATTATTCATATCTTAAATTTTGTGATTAATATTTAAGCTGTTATATTTAGAGTTAGCTAACATTATTTGTTAAATAGATGTACAAAAACAAAAATATTATAAGCTTTTTGAGAAGTAGAACTATAAACCATGTTTCTGAAAGCCTTTTTAGGGAATAATTAGAAACTAGTCAACTTATATACAAATCTATATATGACGATTAAAACTCAAGCCGTAATTAGAATGGAATTTAAATTTGAACAAAATAACATGTAAGAAACCAAATAGTTAGATCGTTAAGAACTGAGTCTTTTAGTAGCTAACTTAAAATTGAATACCTCAATAATATTTGTAATATAGAAATTAAATCATATAAATCTATATCACTGACTGTAATAAAACAGAGTCTAAATTGAAGCCAAAAGAAAACTATATAGAGAAACCAAATTTGTTAGATAGTTAAGAACGTTATCTTACAGTAACTAACCCAAAATAAGTAATAATACAAAATAATGTTTGTAGCATATAAATTAAAATATATAGCTGTATTAAGAAGAGATCAATTTATATAGCTGTACTATATGAATTTGAAAAAGGAAACTCAAGATTAGATAAAGATTTATATAGATTTGGCAGTCATCAAAATTATGTTAAGAGTTCGTGGAATACTAAGTTCTTCATAAGTATTAAAGCTAGAGAATAGAGTTGTGTATCTGTAAAAAATGTAGTTTAAGATTTGTAAATAAAAGATGCAAAATAACAAACTACATAAATATTTAGCATCTTTATTTCGCTTGGGTCTGGGTTTGTTTATGTTTGTTTTGTTTGTTGTTAATATTGTTTACACATAAAACGTTGCAACTGCAATATACATAAATAGTTAGTTATACAATCCAATGTCTTAACCGTCGTCCGACTAACGACTTTCACACATATACATATACGTATACATATACATATGTAAATATAATGCTAATATTTGGTTTAGCTAAATTACATTTGCCGCTTAAACATTTAGTTTCAAGAAAATCAATTACATTTCACAACGAATTTCATTTACAAACAATTACAATCGTGTATCATATATCATATCATATCATTTCATTCATTAATTATTATTATATATTTTTTGGTGCTGTTTACTTGCTAAGATCACAATAGTTCGACTCCAGTTTAAATCTGAACGCGGCCTCGGCACCAAAAAATTTGCTCGATTTATAGGAGGAGGGGGTGTTATCCATTAATTCTTATAAGTGGGGAATGTGATCTAAATGGAACAATTTGGTAACGCTTAATACTGAAGCTAATTAAACAAACAACACAAATCACTCTATCGAGTATTACTCTGCGCTACAAGTATAACGTAATGCCTAACAAAATCAACAAAGGGACAACGTGACATATAAATGTAGATAGCCTAAGGAAGGACATTTAGCAGTGGGTTAAGTGAAGGTAATCAACGTTTGTACAGGTTCAGTTACTTGTTAATCCTAAGCCACATAAAGTAAATAGTACTACAATTAAAATGGACACACACAAAAAAAAAGATAAGGAAAGGAAAAGAAAGACTTGGCCATGCTGCAGAGCGAGCTGGCAATAGGGTTAGAAAGAGCACGCTAGAGAGCATGAAACACAATTAAAAAGTCAATGTTTAAGTTGTAAAACAATGGAGCTCTACTTGGAGCCCGTTGCTGGATGATGGTGATGTCCATGGAGTAGATGATGCTGCTGCTGTGCAGAGCTCTGATGATGATGCAGATGCTGCTGATGCTGCTGATGCTGCTGCTGCTGCTGCTGTGCAGAGCTCTGGTGATACGGCGACTGCTGCGGCGGCTGATGATAATGCTCCTTTGGGGCTGACGCAGCTGCAGCCGCTGCTGAGCTCGATGACGAGGCGGTGGAGCTGGCCGCATGATTCGCGCCATGGCTATTGTGACTGTTGCTGTAGTTAATAGGCAGCGCCGTGACAGCAGCCAGTGCAGCGGCAGCAGCGGTGGCAGCTGCCACACCAGCTGTGGCAGTGTTCAATTTGCTGCCACTGCCACTCCCACTCCCGCTGCCGCTATTCACCTTCAGCTGGCGTATTTCGGGAAAGAACTCAATCATCAGAATTTCGAGCAGCTCCTGCAAGTGCAAAGCAAGCCAAATCAATAATCAAATCTATCATCAATCATCAAGCAATTCATTTCTACTCACATAGAAGAGCTGCTTGTTGTACATGGGATTCTGCAGGGCATCGAAGACTTTGAGAACGCCACGCTTGGCCGCCTGGGCGCCCACCAGATTGCAGAGCACCTCGGGTATGTGATCCGTAAGCAGCGCCTTGGCCGCATTGGTGGTCATCTCTTTCATATCCTCCGACCGGGGCGGATACGCCGAGGCAAGCACGCCTCCGGGCCAGAATGATTTCAATATGGCCGAGAAATAGTTGTGCAGCATGGACTCCTCAAACAAGTACGCCACGGACTCTCGTATCTGTCGGTTGATCGTGCGTCCATAGGTGATCTGGACAAACGAGATGATGCTCTTGCGCAACCATTTGAATACGCCGCCCATGTCAAAGATTTCGCCCATCAGCGCATAGAGCGGCTCGGCAATGGAATCCTTGCTGTCCAGATCAGCGAGAAGTTTCGCATCGCTGCTAGACTCGCCATCCAGATAGTTGGACATGTCGTCATCATCGCGCTGCAGTCCCCAGAACGGATCGCTGGCTTTGCTCGACTCGTGCGCCTTGGCCGTGTCGCTCTTGAAGAGCGTGGAGAGCGAGAATTTGGATTTCTTGGGAGAGGGCAGCGTCTGCTTTAGATGATCCGAGCTGGGGCTCAGAAAGGTGTAGATGGCCTCGCTGCCATTCAAGTGATCATCCTCCAGAATAAACTGCAAGTGTTAAGGATTAGATAACAGAAATGGATATTCATTCACGTCGACTTACATTCAAAAACTTTTGTATCTGCCCCTTGGCCTTCTCCTGTGCATGTCGATCCGTCTTCAAGAAGAAGAACTTGAAGTTCGTCGGCAGATCCAAGGATTTCAAATTGGAGCTCACGTGTCGCAGCTTGCGTTGCAGCTCCTATGAGAGATCAGCTCTATTATCTTTGTTGCACATTTGGAAAGTTGATATAGAATCTTACATGCACTTGGTTAAGGGATCGCATTACCACCCAGCCACTAGAGATGCCCGATGGACGACGCCTTTGCGGTCGACCCGTGCTGCTGTCTCCATTCTTTGTAGCTGGCGGCGCATTGATATCCTCGTCCACATGCACCAGAATCATGAACTGCAACGATTCCTTCTCATCAGAGACCTGAAACCATATTAAGACACGGATATCACACAGTTCCTCGTTGCCTGCATCATGGACTCACCTCGACGCTCTGTATGGTTGCCTTCCACTTGCCGAGGTGTTCGGTCCAGGCATCGGTGCGGCGGAGGTGTGCCTCTGTTTGTCTTTTCTCGCTCTTTAGCCATTCCATTTCTTTTTCGAGTATTTGCAAAACTTTCGATTCTGGCTTCACTGAGTATTTGAGCGCGTCGAGCGCTTGGTTCTTCTTATCGATGCGCTCCTGTATCTGCTCCAGCTTCCGGCGTGCGTAGGACGTGTGTGCAGCCACATCGATGGCCGCTGGAGCCATACTGCCGCCATTGAGGCCATCCGCCACGATGGCTTGCTCGTCGTCGGTCGCATCGCCGAGCATAGTGGGGCACATGAGCAAGGTGGGATCATTAAATTCGTTCGACTCGAGCGCCTCCTTTAGCTGGCGGTACTGTTCGCTCAGCACAAACGGCGGATAGTATTTGTCCTCCAGGGTGCGCAATATATTGCGCTGTATATCATAGAAGATATCTGGCCCAGCATCGCCCAGCACAAACGTTTCGATCAGCTTGCGCTCGTGCTTATCAATCTGTATCTCTGGCTTGGGCACTCGAATGTATGTGTAGAAGATCTCTGTGCCTAGCTGGTGGGTCGCCGATTTGTGCGCATGCTTCATCTCCTCCACGGCCAGATAGAAGCCGACCAGGGCGCTGGCCTTCAATGGCTCGAGGAACAGCGTAAAGAATCGTCTGCCCACAGCCGTATTGAGTATTTCCATCAGTGTTAGATCCTATTGAGAGAACGAACACATTTAGCTTTATGATTAGAACAGGTTGGCGTTTCACTTGCCGTATCGCTGGAGTAGTTGCCATTCCAGCCAAACTTGGCCAGATTCTTCTCGCACTGGCTCTTGGCCAGTGAGAGCTGCTGAACGTAGCGCTTTAGCCGCACCGCGGCCGTTAGCTCCGATTTGGACAACGTATGATCCTCGGTATCTGGATCGAGTCCTTTGGCACGCTGTAAGTTCTGCATACTCGTGGCATGCATCAGATCGTTTACAATGCTCTTGCGTATCAGCGACAGCTCCTCCAGGTTGCCCGAGTTGTTGATGATCTTCAGGAACTCCTCGAAGCTGGCTGCGTATTCGTAGCTACGTTTGCTTATCGCTGCTGCGGCCAGACGTGTCTCAATGTTCTGCACAATCTTTTGATTAATGTAGTCTGGAGCAGTTAGCATTTTGATCATGGGAAAGAAAACTGCAGGGCCGAGAACGTGTGGAATTCATTAATATGTTGATATATGTATATGCTCCATCTAATTCACATACTCTTATAGGACAGCATCTCGCTGAGCAGCACTTTGAGCGGCGGCAAGGAGTAGCCGCGTGGCAGCAACAATATGACCATAATCTCGCACAGCTTGCGCAGAAACTCCATTTCCTTCTCCTCATCGACCAGGTACAGATTGGTGCTAAACACCGGCGCGTTATTCGTTTCCGCACTGCAACGAGTTGAATTGGAACTTAGTAGAAATTGAAGTGGCTTTCCTTGAATAGACTTACGCGCGTGCCTCGGCTATGCGTATCTTTTCGAGATGCACAGTGACCCGATTGACCATGTCCACGGCTATGATCTTGGCTGGATCCATTTTGGCGGCACGCTCATGGATCTTTTGTATGGCATTCCACAGATCCTCACGTATTATATCGTTAATGAGCTTCGGTTTGGTAACCACATAGCTGTCAAAGAGAGTCGAGATTAGAGCGATTGGGTTTCACTTCAGAGAGATACCTACCCCAGCCAGGGCACCATGAAGTCGCGAAGTACATACTCGATGATCTGCTGGAGCTGCAGATCGACGGTCTTGCCAAAGACCAGGGGTAAATTCGATGGATTCTTAATGGGATTTGGCAAATCGAAGATGTTGCTTCTGCAATCGAATAGATTGTACATATGTTAAGATAAGGACTATATAGAGGGAGGGCGATGCAACTCACTTGGTTGCATTGTAAAGCAGCTTAGAGGGCAGTCGATTGGGCTTTGTGGGCTCATTGGTCGTAAATATATAATGTATGTAGACGGTGCCAGCAACAGCTGTTGGAAGAGACAGAAGATAAATTTTTAATTAAGGTGAATATCTAGTTCAGATATTTATGTGGAATATGGGCAGAGAGCTGATAAGAAATGAGTCATGGACTAGATTATTGGATATATGGTTTCGCTGTCTGATAATACGATAGCCACTATTCACTTACCTGCAAAGACCAGCACCAGGGAATAGATGACGAATGCAAAGAACAGAAATAACGTTGGATAATACCAAATAACGGCCAACAGCGTCGATACTATGCCCGATATGATAATTTTCCAGTTTACTTGCAGAGCACGTAGCGCACTGAAAGCCAAAAATCGAAATCGAAATTGAAACTGAAATCGAAATCTGATGAGGGAGAGGGAGAGGGAGACACAGAGAGACAGAGAGAGAGTGTGTGTGTGTGTCTGTGTGGGCAGGAAGCGCAGCCTATTTATAAATAATAATGACCGATAGACTTCACCTTACCTCCCCCACCCACTGCCTCCACAGCAACTCATTCGCCCATCACTAATCATTAGGCATTCATACGCACACACACACACATTTATACATATGCCGTAAAGGATACACACACGAGGGCACGCATTTGAAGTCGATGCAGCGTCTTCACTTACCGCGTTGCCAGCTGGGTCAGGCGCTGTGTGGGCGTTGTTGGCGGTTCGGGTTCAATGGGAAACAACGGGCGGCGTCTCTCCATTGCTGCCAGCTGTTCCACTCCTTAGATCTGCGAGTGTATGTGTGTGTGGGCTAGTGGTTTACAATTGCTGTTATTATTGCTGTTGTTGCGTCTGCTTTGTATTTGAATATTTTATGCGTTGTATACATTTTTGACGCGTTGCTTTTTTTGCTTAGTTTGTCGCTTTTGTCATGTCCTCCAATGTGTCGTCTGGCCACTATTAAAAATAGTTCTCTATAACCACTTCCGCCACCCCCTTGCCCACACCCCACGCCACACGCCTCACGCTCAACGCCCTCTGCTCTCCGCCCTTGCGTTCAATATTCGAAAAATGACGTCGTCGTCGTCGTCGTTATTGCACTTGAATTTGATCTTGGATTGGTCTCAGGGATCAGAGAACATCCGTGCTGCGAATATAGCAACAAGTTGATATTGATAACTGCCAAAGGGGGCGGCGCGCTTTACGATAAGAATGATAAGAGCGGCACAACGATTGCTGCCTGCAGCTCTGCCTCCGTAAAATCGTTTGCGGCTACTGCTATGTTGTTGCTGTTGTTGTTGTTGGTTTTGGCGTTGCTGCTGCCGTTGTTGCTGCCGTTGGCCCTGCTGCGTAGATAATAACGAATTGGAATTTGAGTTGGCGCGTTCGTCGTTGGTCAAGCGGCGTGGCCGTAATTATTCATCACGCGGTGGCGCTCACTTCTACTTTCAATCACAATCACAAATACAATAAATGCAAAATCAAAGTTTCCAACTGTGTTGGTGCCATTGGATTTGTTGATTTCATATCGATAGCGATAATATGGATTATGTGTTGTAGGCCCAATTCGATGACATATCGACATACCGCCACGCGGACTACCAGCGACCGATAGATGTTGCCAAGTTTAAATAAAACAACCGTTAATTTTAGGTTTCCAATTTATTTGCACTGCAAAACTAACAATACTTATTTGAATTTGAAAACATTTGAGTTATTGGTATTGGTAAAAGTTTGTTTGTTGTTCAATAAATATAT